TAGCGATAACATTATTATATTATATATTATTATAATATATAATAAATATAATAATATATTATAATATATAATTATTATATAATATTATAATTATAATATATAATATATAATTATTATATAATATTATAATTATAATATATAATATATAATATATAATTATTATATAATATTATAATTATAATATATAATATATAATATATTATAACGTTATTCTGGTGTAGGATTTGCCTAGAAATAATCTAAATATCTTGAAATTTGCGAATACGTCTTTGCTTTCACTAAAATTACAATTTAAATAGTTAATTCGTCGCTACTTTTTACGCGCGACGATATATACTCGTCAAAGAATTAGTTAATTTCAAGACATCGAGAGCTAGATACACGTTTTATTCCCACCCTAATAATTTTATTATTATTATTATTATTATTTATTTATTTACGGGAAGAAGATTCGCTTTGGAAAATATAAAAAGAAAAGGTTACAGCGGTTTTTTCTTGCAACGGTCGTTCTTAGTGTTCGCTACAAAGCTAAAACCGGTTAATAAAATACGTGTTTCAGAATAATATTTCCGCGAGCTGTGCTCCTCCTCCTCTTCGTCGAACAATCTTGCCAAGCGACGCGGATCTTTTGCAAACAAATACGCGCGAAGACTTTCAAGCGATAATTTTAACGAAGAACTTGTTTGCCTGTACCGTTCCGTAAACGTTCCGTGCCCGAGCGGAAATTGCATTGGAAACTTTGCGATTCAGCGAAGGTTGAATTCGCGGCCGAGACAGATATCGTTCCATTCTCCGCCAATCCCGAACGATTATTCCCGAGATCCTTCTCCGCGCGAGCCATAAATCCCGCTGCTCGAAAAAAGAAAAATCAAACTATTCCAGAATCTTTTAATGCGTACATAATCTAGCCGGCGAGCTGGTTCTTCAAAGTATCGCTGTTCGAATCCTCATCCGGCGGATTAAACAGATCAGGGAAGAAGATCCTCTCCGCGAGATTGCACGTTGGAAAGTTCGCGATTCGAAGACTCGTTCGACGAGCTCGACTGCTTTTTGCCGCGACCAATTATTCTCTACTTTTATCGATGATACGAGACGTCGGCTCTTCGCGAAGAACGGAAGAACGATGATCGATGTATATCTGATTGTCCAATGGTCTACGAAGAGACAGAACGTGGTGCACGTCTTCGGCGAGTGATGCTCGCGGGCTCGTAAATCGGAGGTGCGTGGCCTTGACCCGTTTCCCGGTGGGAGACCGGGTCAGGAGTGCGCGTTCGAACGGCGAAGCCCTTGGTGGCGTGCACGGGGGCCGGGTTAACCCTTGTGTACCCGCGATTATCGTTATCGTTCCGGCTTCGAGGCACGAACGAAGGCAAAGGAAATGGCAAATGTCGAGGGAGCTCGAGGAACCGTTCGGCCAGCTCCCTTTGTCGCCGGGTTCGCCACCCCAAACTCGCAGCCGACGAGTCTCTCCCTTCCTTCTGGCCGCTCCTTCAACTTTTATTCGATCGGAAGCTCGCTTTAACGCTCGCGTTTCACCCGAACCAAGAATCGACCCCTCGAGGAGGAGCTTGCGATATCGCCGTTTCGTCGCCGCGACGTTTCAACGCCGCCGTTCGATTGTCCGCGTCGAAACAGGCGACGATACACCAGCATCCAAACAACAGTCATTTGTTGGCGGATCGTTTCGCGTTCTCTCCGATTTACGGTAATGTCTCCCTTACTGACGTTCAGATTGTCCCAGAAAAATGGACAATTCGGGAGGAGGAGATACGATTATCCGAGCTTTGCGGCTCGTTTTTATAGTCGTTGACAATTCGTGACTATAAATGCGAACCGCGAGGATCGAATAATCGCGTCTCCTCTTCCCAAATTGTCTATTATAGTGCACAATTTGGGCGACATTACCGTATTACTGCGATTTCGAAGGCAAACTTTGACCGAGCAGTTTGTAAAACCTTTTACGTCAATAGATTGACAACTCAAGCTACATCTACTATCCTTTAACCGGAACATTTACTTTTCTCGAAACATCGTATCTCCGTAAGCACAGATTTCATTAAAGAGCCTAATGCATAGAGACCGTACGCATATCACCACGGTTATGCACCCATTACCGCGAGCCAAACGTATAAAAACGACGGGATTCGTTTTTAGAAGACTACACGTCAGTAAGGGAGACATTACTGTACAGTAATGTCTCTCTAATTGACGCTCAGATTGTCCACAGAAATGGGCAATTTAGGGGAGAGGAGATATGATTATTCGAGCCTTTCGGTTTGTTTTTATAGTTATAAATTGTCAACAACTATAAAAACGAGCCGCGAGGCTCGGATAATCGAATCTCCTCTTCCCAAATTGTCCATTTTTCTGGACAATTTAGGGAAGAGGAGATACCATTATTCGAGCCTTTCGGTTTATTTGTATAGTTATAAATTGTCAACAATTATCAAAACGAGCCGCGAGGCTCGGATAATCGAATCTGCTCTTCCCAAATTGTCCATTTTTCTGGACAATTTAGGGAAGAGGAGATACCATTATTCGAGCCTTTCGGTTTGTTTTTATAGTTATAAATTGTCAACAATTACCAAAACGAGCCGCGAGGCTCAGATAATCGAATCTCCTCTTCCCAAATGGTCCATTTTCGTGGACAATCCGAGCGTCAGTAAGGGAGACATTACCATATCCGATAAATTCTGTCGAAAGTCTTCGGTAACTTGTCCGGATATCGCGACCGGCGCGCAAGGAGCTTTTATTATCTCGCGGCGTTCTCGCAGATCAGCGGAACGTGTTCCACGTTCCGTATTGTTCGATCGTTCGCTTCGGAAGGGTCCGTATAATTCCGACGAGTTTAAACCGGTCGTTTCGAGCGGCACGCTGTTCGATATTCGAACGGCAAGGGAAACCGGTGGCTGTGATTTCGACGCCGCGCGTGGAAAGCTCTCGCGAGCGCGCGGTAATGTTTAAACAGCGGAACGACCGCATTCGCCGGCGCGTTCGATACGTTCGATTAAACGAACGCACACCGTGGCCCCCGAATAAATCGGCTTTCGCCGGTGGAATCGCGATACGTGCGGACGGCCGTGCATCGCGGAAACGTCGGAGTCAGAGCCGTTCAATTTAACCGGGAGAGAGAGAGAGAGAGAGAGAAAATCACGGCGCTGCGCTTCTAACGTGCAATAGGCGAAGTCGTTCGAAGCGTCGCGGGCGCATAGGCCCGGGCAAATAAACAAATTTATCGACAAGCAGCCCGGTATTAGCCGACGAGAAATAGCCCGCGCGCGATCGATCCAGTTTTTCCGATAGCGTGCCTATGTATGTGTGTGTGTATATGTGTGTGTGTGTATGCTCTTCCACGGTTCGCGCCGCGACGGCGGCTCCGCCTCGCCAGAAAAATATTAATACCCGTTCCCGTGTGTTTCCCCGAGCAACCGGCTGCTTCGGGATCAACAGTTTTATTATTAAACGTTGCCGCGCGCACCGGCCCCGCCGAAATAAACGCGGAGAGGTGCCCGCCTCCGGAGCGAAACGGGCTATCTCCCGCATTTTTTGGCAAACAAGTCGAAGAACCGACGCCGCTCGAGGAACAGCTGGCCCCGCGCCGATCGATCCGTACGTTTTCGCTGCCTATCGGGGTAAACAGCGGCTTATTAACCCTGTGCCCCGATACTCGGCGCGGGCTCGTCACGGTGCAGTACCGCTTTTCCAGCCGCGCTTCCCTCCGCGTTTAAAAATCATCCTCGAAAAAGTAGGCTGCGACCGATCCGAATTTTCAATATGGTACGGCGAGAGCGACTGGAAATTTCTAATCTCGAAACGGAATTACGGAAAGAACGTCGACACGTTCGAGTATCTTATATTTCGTCGAATTCAAATCGAATGGTTTAGTTGTGTCGATATTATTATATTTAATATCTTTCGATATTGTTATATTGATTTTTCAATATTATTGTATATTAATAGTTTTACGGATATCAGTTTAATTTGATTTTATTTTATTCAATTTTATTTCATTTTATTTCATTTTATTTCATTTTATTCAATTTCATTTCATTTATTTTCGGACTTTATTCCCTCGTGTACAATCAATACAAGATATACATCTTTAAACAAATATAAAATAGATTTATGGAAACTGTAAAAACTTGTAAATTAAGTGTACTTAAATTTAAAACGAAATAAACTTAACCTTAAAACGAAATACAGCTAAGCTGAATAAAAAGAGCTAAAGCGAAATAAAGCTAAGCGAAATAAAAAGAATAAATCTGGACTTAAAGCAAAATAACTTAACCTTAAAACGAAATAAAGCTAAGCTGAATAAAAAAAAGCTAAAGCGAAATCAAGCTAAACGAAATAAAAAGAATAAATCTGGACTTAAAGCAAAATAACTTGCATTCGTGGCATTCGTCTATTTTTTCATAAATGCATGATATCAACAGTGCAATTATGACTAGACCGTGGATCTTTAAGCGAAATAAAAATCAGCTGATTTAACTGTAAGGAATATAAATTATTTACAAATGTGTCTTTCCTTTTTTAACGATAACGATCATTTTAACTTAGCAATAAGTCGAAGAAGCCTCAACTTCGTTCAAAATCGTCGCAGTTTCGTATTCGATCTTTCGTTTTTCGCCGTAAACGCGCGAAATCCTCCGTCCAGCGATTTACGAATCTCGAAACGGAGGCCAACGAAAAGACGATGTCGTTCGAAAAATGACACGAGCGTTACAATCGAGTTCGCTGCGTACGAAAAAAGCGCGGCGAACGGTTCGATAAAAATCCGGCGTCGAACGTTGGAAGAAGATTGATCAAAGAATATCACTTTTGGTTATTTGAACGCGCGAATATTCGTCGCTCGGACGATTCATTCGGCTCTTGTCTTTTTATCCGAGCCGACGCCTGCCGCCGGTTTAAAAAACGCCGCGTGTGATCAATCTTTTATCCCGGGACAAGCAGAAATCATTCCCGACTAACCCGATGTTCTTTTTTTCTTCTGTTCACAGCTGACAGCAGTTTTCTCCTGGCGAACGCTCAGATCGTCGACTTCCCTATTGTCTATTGCAACGAAAGCTTTTGCAAAATCTCTGGCTATAATCGTGCCGAGGTAATCCCCTCTTCCGTGGGACCGTCGACTAAACCTTTCTTCTTTCGCGCCGTCTCATTATTCGCTCGGGATCACAATTTGCGACGGGAATTTTTTAAAGAACGTCGGTGACGGGAGAGAGAGCAGCCTCGATTATGGAACCAGCATCGATCTCCAGGAAACGCGGAGCAGCGGACGTAGTAAAATTATCGAATTACGATTTCGATCGTTCCATGAATTCGTTCGGTCCGTCGATTTCCAGTAATATACAAAAATGCCTCGCAATCCGGAAATGGCGGGTTCCTCGGATCATTTGAAGCAGCTTCTTCCTTTACAAAAATGTTCTCCGAGGCACCGTTAACGAGTTATTAACGAAAAACAGCGACCAATAAGAATCGAGTACGGCTGACGCGAGGCGGCCCAGCCAACCAGCGCACGATGCCCGGTTCCGCTCATTGGCTCGGTCGCCTCGCGCCAGCCGAGCTCGCCTCTCATTGGTCACTGTTTTTCGTTAGTAACTCGTTAACGGTGCCTCGGAGAACATTTTTGTGAAGGAAGAAGTTGCTTCAAATGATCCGAGGAACCCGCCACTTTCGGATTGCGAGACATTTTTGGGACACCCTGTATAACCTCGGACGATGAACAAAGGTTATCGGTACGACCCCTGGAAAATAGCGTTCGAACATCTTTTAATACTAGAAAGCTAGCAAACCAGACGAAATCGACTGGCTTCTGATTTTTTCATTTAGAATTCCCGATATTATAAAAATATTTCTCCGAGAATTCGGATGAATTTCGTTATTCAAACATATATTATTAAAAAATATCGCACGAAGCTCAAATAAATCCAATCTTGCGATTACTATAAGACGATATTAGCCTTGTTAAAAAAGATTTCAATAATTCTATTATTAAAAGGTAATCTCTCGCTTTTTTCGAACCGGAGTAAACGACGTGAATTGTTTGGAGTTGTTGGAGCGATTAATTCATCGTAGAATGACTGAAATATTTCGTTTTAATTTCACTGTTACTTACAGTGAACAAAAGAAAAAGAATGAAAGCCTATAATGAGCCTATACAAAGCCAAAAAAAAGATAATTATAATATTACAGATATAACGAAAATTAAAAACTGTATTTCGCAGTTCATTAAATATGTCTAATGAAATTATAATTATTATAATATATCAAAGTGTATATCCTCCTTAACCAGTCAGCTGTTTTCGACGAGTATACTCGTCGCGACGGAACGACGTTTTCTCTTGCGACGAGTACACTCGTCGAAAGCAGCCGACCGGTTGAAAGATGTTCGAACACTTTTGCTCGAAGGGTCGTACAACATTTGATCGTTTTTACCTAACGTTTCGCGATCGAAGAACTAATTAAAGCCGCGCGATTCGAGTCGAGGCGTCGAGCCGTTAATTTTCCGGGGGCCCCGTGGTCCAAAACCGTGGTTGGAGCACTGTCTGACATTTTTGTTGATGATCCTGTCAGGTTATGCAAAAGTCCTGCCGCTGCGGATTCATGTACGGGGAGTTGACGGACAAAGAGACGATCGCCAGGATCGAGGAATGCCTCGAGGGCCAGATTCACGATCAATTCGAGATCCTGCTGTACAAGAAGAACAGTAAGTAGCCCCGTGGTCGATAGCGTCGCGGCATGGGAGAAGCTTAAATGTGGTGTTCGTGGCTTCTTTCGCGGTCGGAATCGACGATTTCGGTTCGCTCGGCGCCCTCGCCATCCTCCCCCCGCGGCCATCGGTGCTCCCGTTCTTATCGGGGATCCCGGGGAATTTGTGGCCGGCGAGCGATGTTTTATCGCCTCGGCCTTGCTGCGAATGTCCCCGGCGGTCCCACGGACAAAAAGAGAACGGCCGCTTCAATTTTTCAACGAACGCCGCGGAGTTTTCGCAGCGATGCCGAAATTTCTCCGATTCCTCCGACGGGCTGTAAACCAGCCGATTAAAATTCCAGCGCCGGTTTCCAGGCTTCCGAGATCGAGGGCCCCTCGAAAATTCCACGTACGTGTCCCGAAGATTGCTGCTCGATTTAACGAAACGCTTCGATTGGCCGCGTTATTAACCCCTTGACGTACTTTAAAAGAGTCCGATTAGCGACGAAAATTTATACATAATTAATTCATAACCTTTTTAACACACGATTGAAATTTTTCTAATTTATTATTTTCATTTTATTTCGTATTTTCCACTTTGTAATTTACTTTTTTTCTATTTTCATATCCTTCTTATTTATCGTGTGCACTAAATAAAACGGTATTGCAGTATAAACGATGTGTAACATGCTTCGCTGAAATATGTATATCTTTAATTTACCAAGACGAATATCTATTGAAACATTGAAAATTTATGCGAACATCATTTTCGCAAAGTTTCGAAGAAGTATAACTGCTGCGCCAAGGGGTTAAGTGGACAACGAAGACGACGCAAATCTCGTTCGTCCAACGAACAACTTCGACCGATAAAGAACGGTCGCGGTAATCGGCGGGTCGATTTTGACCCGAGTAGCACGACCGTCACGGAATCGTCGAAAACGTGCCGCCGATGATCGAGCTCCGGAAGAATAATTCAGGACACGAAGGGTTGACACAGAAACGGGGAAACCTTTGGCTTCGGCGGGATAGATCGATGGAATCAATTGTTAATGTCAAAGTCTCGACCCGGTTCGGCCGGCTGGCAGTCTCGGCGAGGGTGCTCGAGCATTTTTGCGAAGGGGTGGTCGCAGAGGGAACCGTCGATTCCCGGCGAGCGAGTTTGACGGAACGCCTCGAGGCGCGAGACGATGTATCGTTGTGCATGCAAGAAGTCGCTGGTCGACCGGCACATAAGAGAACACATGATCTACGTATGCGTCGATCAGATCGATCAAGCGCCGATCGGACCGGCTTCGAGTTTCGTGTTGTACGTGTTGGTGTCGCCTGATCTCGCCTCGTGTGTCAGTGACAGCGTCAGTATCGAACGACACTTGTTTAGCGAACGAGTGTTCACTGTTCACGGATCATAAAGCTACAGTAATGTCTCCCTTACCGACGCTCAGATTGTCCACTAAAATGGATCATTTGGGAAGAGGAGATGCGATTATTCGAAACGAGCCGCGAGGCTCGAATAATCGCATCTCCTGTTCCCAAATTGTCCATTTTTGTGCGCAAACTGAGCGTCAGTTTGGAAGACATTACTGTATGTCTTTATACAGTAATGTCTCCCTTACTGACGCTCAAGTTGTCCACAGAAATAGACAGATTTGGAAGAGAAGATACGATTGTTCGAGGCTTGTTGCTCGTTTCTTATAGTTATCCATTGTCAACAACTATAAAAACGAGTCGCAAGACTCGAATAATCGTATCTCTTCTTTCCAAATTGTCCACTTTTGTGCACAATCTGAGCGTCAGTAAGGGAGACATTACTGTATACAGGGTGTCCCACAATTATTTTAACAGCCGAAAATGAGGGGTAGCTGAGGTCATTTGAAGTAACTTTTTCCTTTGCGAAAATGCAATCCGCGGCTTTGTTTACGAGTTATTAACGAAAAACACTGGCCAATGAGAGGTGACGGTGCGAGAGAGAGGGTCCGCGAGAGAGTCCGCAGCACGAGGCTTTGACAGAAGGTCGGGACGGACTCGAGCCG